TCACCCCCACAGATGGTATGTTTTGTTGTTGTTTTTTTACATAAAATTTTGATGTTATCTAAATTAAATTCATTATTCTACAATTGCTCTTTCTTTGTTTTAGTGTTTGGAAAATGTTTCCCATTCTGAGATTTTGTAATCATTATAGTTTATCTTTTCCTTTTTTTTTCTTCTTTTAAAAATTCATCTGTAATTTAGTTTTGTATGCAGCACAGGTAGTGTTCTCTCTGTTTTGTTTTTTCTTTGAAAACTGCCAATGTGCCTGACAGTATTTATGAAATTATTCAGGATTTCCCTAAATATGTCTCAGGGAACACTATTACTGTATGATTTTGAAATAGAAAAAAAAAGTTTAGCTACTTACATATTTGAGATCTGCTGAATAATCCTCTTCATTAAGATTCACATAGCATATTTCCATTTAAAGGTTTCCAAAAGTCCTGCAGAATAAAATACTTATTTTATCTTGCTTTACCTAGAATTATACATTTAGCTATGCAATCCTTGTACCAACAGCATCTGTTAACATCAAAGAAATTAATGTTCCATAGAAGACAAAACGAGTGTAAAACTTGGAAGGTCAAGTAGCCACCTTTATCAAATGCTAGTGTTTGAAGAGGCCCAGCATGCAAGTAGTACCCTTGGGTTCTAAATACCTTGAGAATAAGGATCAGTAGGGCAGATGGGCATCGACATATTACCTGTATTATTGGCAATAGGTGTATTAGAGGATGTAACTCTGTTGGGAGAGCCTAACGGGCCCTGCTAACTGAGCATCAAAATTCAAGGTAGTTGTTTAGTCCTCTCTCCAAGGACTGCCTTCCCAGCTAGGACTTGAAGACTGGAGGCTGTAGCTCTGCCCAAGAGAAAAAAAAAGGGAGTGCTGAGTCTATCAAGCCTGTGTTGTCCTTTTGAATTCTACTGATTAAGTCAGTTACTCCCTTTTCCCTTGATGTAAAGAGTGAGATGCTAGAGCAAATCCCTTCACAAGGGATCCAGGGAATGGAGAAAAAGACATTCCTCATTCACATTGCTCTACTTCCACTGGGTTTCACCACATGGAGTATGGTGTGGCTGTCTCCCCAGGGAGGAGCCCTATCAGGAGAACTCTGTGTCTACCTTCCTTAGGCTGTTATCTCCAACACTGGCCTCTACTCTTTTGAGCCTCTTATCTGGAGAGAGCTTACATTTAGTTTCCAGAAAGCTCTGAAATGGATCAAAACAGTACATGAATCAAATCAATTTCGAGCCCTCCCTCCATCTTGAAAACTCCCTATTTTATTTCCCATCCTAAATTTTATCTAGCTACATTGTCCCATATACATTATCAGAGATTCTGCTAGGAGACTAAATACAGCATAAAGCTGCTCCAACAATAAGATAAATAAAAGGCTCTGATAATAAAACACCAAAAACATTTAGGTGACCCAAATTTGATGCAAAACCTTCCCCTGTTTTCAGACTTCCAAGGAGTTAAATCCTCTGGCAAATGAAAACCCAAAAATGTTAAAACGTGAAGTCAGGATAAAATATATTCTCATGCCATTTTTTTTTTACTGTTTATCTATTAAGTTTTATAGTAAGTTTAGCTATCAGCTAGAATAAACTTACTATATTCTTCTTCAAAATTATCTTAGCTACAATTCTATAGGCTCTTCTAGAAAAATGTTAAGATCATTTTATCTAGTCAAAAGGACAAGTAGCTTGTATTTATTTCATAAAGTTAATTTTATTTATTTCATAAGTTAATCTGAGAAGGAATGACTGCATTGAGTTTTTCTATGCAGAAACATGAACTAGCTCTTAGTAGAAAAATGTTCAACTATCATTAGATGCTCTATTCATTCAAATAAATGTGTTAATCACAAAAATCACTTCCAGGGCTAATTTCTTACCTTTACTTTTTTATAGATAATGTCAGCAAGCATAAAAGGAAGCCAGAGGTGTAGGAACTGTCAGATAGCAACAATTAAATTTGATGCGATGTAGAACCAAAATAGTGACAACTTAGGAAGGAAGGCCTTAGCTATAAGACACAAATCAAATCAAACACACTTGAATAGTATGTCCCAATTATTAGATTTTATTTAATTTTTAATTAAACTTAATCCCCTTTATATAGGAGAAATGAGTTAACTGGGTGAAATGAAAGCAGTGACATACACGGTATCTAAAGAAAGAGGTGGCTGAAGAAATAGGTTATAGGTTCCTTGATCTATTTATCTGCCCAGGTGCGTGTGGCCAGGCCTGTACAACCGTCTGTCTGATGGACCTGTCAGTCCCGTATCCTTGTGGATATCTACAATATGAAGAGCTGGACTAGATGACATCAAATTGGTTTCACTCTCTTTTGCTGATGTCATACAAGTTATATGCCTGTTGAGTATAGTAAGAGCTTGGGCTCCAAACTGTGATATTCTTGGTTTTATCTCAGCACTATCACTTGTTAATTATACGATCTGGTGGAATTCACTTAGTCTCTCTGTGCCTCAGTTTCTAAACCTGCGTAACTAGATAGGAAGGTGAAATAGTACCTGCTTCAAAGATTGTTGTGACAACTAAATGGATCAGTGGATGCTTCTTACTTAGAATAGCATCAGGCACAGAATACATGCTCAAGAAATGTTAGTTGTTATTTTTATTTTTATAATTATTCCAACTCCCAAAGAGGTGAAAACCTTTTCTGCAATTCAGCAGCTCCTGAATTTTGATTTTCTTTTTTCATATCTTATTACCTCTTATGGTATCTTTCCACACTGCCTCCAAACAAAGGTGACCACCTTTTTAGGCACCAGCTACCTGTACAAGATGATAGGTGTGTGGTAAATTTAGGACAGGCTTTATTTATTTTGGGCTCCAGAATCACTGCAGATGGTGACTGCAGCCGTGAAATTAAAAGATGCTTGCTCCTTAGAAGAAAAGTTATGACCAACCTATACAGGATATTAAAAAGCAGAGATATTACTTTGCCAACAAGGGTCCGTCTAGTCAAAGCTATGATTTTTCTAGTAGTCATGTATGGATGTGAGAGTTGGACTATAAAGAAGGCTGAGCACTGAAGAATTGATGCTTTTGAACTGTGGTGTTGGAGAAGACTCTTGAGAGTCCCTTGGCCAGCAAGGAGATCCAAGCAGTCCATCCTAAAGGAAATCAGTCCTGAATATTCATTGGAAGGACTGATGTTGAAGATGCAACTCCAATACTTTGGCCACCTGATGTGAAGAATTGACTCATTGGAAAAGACCCTGATGCTGAGAAAGATTGAAGGCAGGAGAAGGGGATAACAGAGGATGAGATGGCTGGATGGCATCACTGACTCCATAACCATGAGTTTAAGTAAGCCCTGGGAGTTGGTGATGGACAGGGAAGCCTGACTCACTGCAGTCCATGGGGTCTCAAAGAGTTGGACACAACTGTGTGACTGAACTGAACTGAAGTATAGGGCAGCATCTAGAATAGTTACTCTGCTTCTTCCAATTTATTACCCAATAGGGGAGTTGGAAAAAAAACTTCTATATTAAATGCAAAGTTCCAATACCCATCTTTTGCATTAATTTTGGATGTGATGATTGCTGCCAGACAGTTGTAGACAGTGAAGAAATCTGTGATGGTTCCATAACTCTTGGGTGGCTTGGCATTAGCATTCCTCAGAAGAATTTATGTCATCATCTTTGTCAGGAAGTCTGATGTAAAGCTCAGGATTTTGAGAATTGCTGGAAATTATAATGAGTTGGGGGACGATTGTGTATAATGTTCTTAAATACTTTAGCTGGATCAAAGATCTGAACCTCAGATGCATGCTACGATTACCGGAAGAAATTATTTTAAATGTCCATGCCGCAACTAACCTAGACCAATTAAGTCAACTCCCTCTGGGGCAAGGTAGATGCATGACTTTTAAATAATCTTTGACTCCATGGGACATACTCTTGCTAATATCTTTGATAGTTCTTTTTCCATGTGTTTTCCCCCAAAATCCAGAATCTTTTCACTCTCCCATGTTACCCTTAGAATTCTCTAAGACTCTTGGAGTTAGAAGACTCTAAAATTTCATTATTTCTCAACCTCTGCCCAATATTTCACCCTCTGAAAGAACCTGATCTACATATTCCTTGGCAGATGAGCATCACTAAATGATTGAATGCCTTGAGTGACTGAGGACCTACCACCTCTTGATGGGGTCAATTGCTCACATGTATCTTCTTATGTTGCTACAAAATGGGTCCCTGGAACTAAAATCCAGCTAGTCCTATACTTCTCTCTAAAAACTAATGAAATAGACCTAATCTCTCCCACTGGCAGTCCTATAAAAGCTTAAAGGAATAAGTCATGTCCTTCCTAAGTTGGTTGTTTGCCCTCAACAAAATCAGATTCTACCACTGCTCCTAGAATGATAAGATTTGTAGACCTCTCCCAACCCAGTTTAACTTCCTAGGAACATTGTATAGTTGGCCAAATCATTAAATACAATACCCTAAATTGAAGAAAGCATTCTAAGTGTTATCTGAGAAACCTCATACACATGTAATATTCACCCTAAACTAAGTGGAAAATCCTCTAGATGAAAGTTTTAAGGGTTTAAAGTCTTAAGGATGTAAAGGATATAAGGATTTAAATGGACCTTAAAGACTCTCAGATGCATATGTCAAAACATTTGCATCTGGGAAAGTAATGTGTTTATCCATAAAGTGAAAGTTACTCAGTCGTGTCCACCTCTATGACCCATGGGGTAACCTGTCATGCTCTTCTGTCCATGGAATTCTCCAGGCAAGAACACTGGAGTTGGTAGCCATTCCCTTCTCCAGGGGATCTTCACCCAGGGATCAGACCCGGGTCTCCCACCTTGTAGGTGGATTCTTTACCATCTGAGTTACCAGGGAGGCCCATAAAGGCAGGGGGGAAAAGTGAAAAGTTTAGACTACTTGAAAAGGACCAATTTAAATATAGATCTATTTAAAACACACATGATTATTTTAATTTGCTAGAGCCGCCACACCGAAATGCCACAGGCCGAGCCCAGGCCCCCGGCTCCGCGTGCTAGCGGCCCAGGCCCGAGGGACGGCCGCTGGGCCCCGCCTGCGGCCTCTGCCCTCACCTCGCAGGCGGCCGCCTTCAGGTCGCCGCTCCACTTGGCCTTTCCTCCGGCCGTCTGTCCAATTTCCCCTTCTTACAAGGACACCAGTCACAATAGATTAAGGCCCAGCCGCAACAGCCTCATTTTAGCTTGATCGCCTGCTTAAAGGCTCCAATTCCAAATACAGTTACATTCTGAAGTCCTGAGGGTTAGGGCTTGAACGTGTGAATTTAGAGGTACACAGCTGAACCCATAGCAGTGACCATTGTTGTTGTTCAGCCTCTAGGTCGTGTCCAACTCTGCAACCCCATGGACGGTAGCATTCCCGGCTCTTCTGATCTCCACTATATCCCGGAGTTTGCTCACATTCACGTCCATTGAGTCGGTGATGCCATCCAACCATCTCATCCTCTGCCACCTCCTTCTCCTTTTGCTTTCAATCTTTCCCAGTGCCAGGGTGTTTTCCAATGAGTCAGCTCTTCGCGTCAGGTGGCCAAAGTATTGGAGCTTTGGCATCAGTTCTTCCCAAGAATAAGTATGATATAGGTATATTATATATATATGTATATCATATAGTATAGCTTTTTATATATGTCATATATTATTGTTTTATATATATATGTCATATGTTGTTGCTTTTATTATGCTTTTAAAACATATTATGTTTATTATTATTGTTTTATATATGTATATGTTATTGTTTTTATTATGATTTAGATCTATATTATAGCATTATATTTTAATATATATATTATATATTAAATATATATTATATATTAAATATATATTGTATGTATAATATATATTATATCTGAGAATATATAGTATATTCTATAATACTATTATGATTTAACTCAATATTATAGCATTATATTATTAGAATATATACATATATAGTATTATATATAGTACTATATAATATATAATATATAATTATATATAATACTATATATTGAAACACTATATATATTACATATATAGTATTATAGTAGTATTATATTAGACTATATAATATGATAATTAATATAGCATTATAATATTACAGTCTAATATGCATCTAATATCATATAATATAGATATATAGTGCATATATATATATACATATATATTTAACATGTTCTTTTGGTTTAGATTTTCATGAGCTATACTTAAGTAAAACTCAGAGCCATTCCCCAGACTTAGAACAATTCTTGGGGCTTTCATTATTCTTTATGTTATGGTCACAGGATCTTGATCTGTTTTCCCATCCTCTTTAAGGCTTTCCTCCTAACACCGATAGAAGATCAGGACCTATTTTTGTAGCTTTCTTAAAAAACAAACACAAACAACCTTTACGCTTTTGTTTAGTGTTTTTTTTTAATTTTGAAATACAATTTTAGACTCATAAAAGTTGCAAAAAGTGTATAAAAAATGGCCCTATATCCTTCACTCATCTTTCCCTAATGTTAACACCTTACATAGTGATGGTACAAGAATTAACACCAAAAAATTAACAGTGATACAATGGTAACCGAACTACTATTTCTAGAATTCTGCTGTTTTCTTCAACAGTGAAAGTTTTCTGTTACAGGATCTTATCTCTTATCCCACATCGCTTTGAGCTGTCTCCTTCAATCTGAGACAGTCAGTCAGGCTTTCCTTATCTCACATAGCCTTGACAGTTTTGAAGAGCATCAGTATTTTATAGAATGTCCTTCAGTTGGATTTGTTTAATAATGTTTTCTCATGAAAAGCTACAACAGAATGAAGTTATACATTTTTGGCCAGAACATCATAGAAGTGACATTGTGTGCTTCTCAGCGCACCGTATCAGAGGGTGGATGGTGTTGTTAACTCTGACTGATGCCAATGCTAACCCAGATCACTTGGTTAAAGTGGTGTTTGCCAGGGATTTAAACTGTGTTTTCTTCCTAATCACCAGAATACATAGCTAGTGAGAAATTCAGAAAAACTTAGAATAGTCAGAGAGCTTAAGAAATCTTATAAGCTCATTTAAGAATCTAAAAAAGAGTGAATATATGTATTTATGTATAATTGATTCACTAACAAAAGTTTTTGTGTTTGTTTGTTGAGATGAAACCTTCCACCCTGCAATCATTGCATTTAATCTTTGTAGAATAATAGCTGTTGAATGATAGGATCCCACTCAGATAGACAATTTATCTTCCAAGCTGATAATTTTGGAGTGGGCTTTAGCTTCCACCATAACATCGATCAATCACTAACATCCGCTTCCAAATAAGTGTGTACTCCAATTAAAGCTGGTGTGTTTGTTATACTAAATACATTCCTTGGGCCAACTGCCCTCTTTTCTCTAAGCAAATTTCTCTTAGCCCCTCACTATATCTGCATACAATTGCACTCATTTCACAAGCTAGCAAGGTAATGCTCAAAATCCTACAAACTAGGCTTCAACAGTACGTGAACTGAGAACTTCCAGATGTACAGGCTGGATTTAGAAAAGGCAAAGAAAACAGAGAGCAAATTGCCAACATCCGTCGGGTTATAGAAAAAGCAAGAGAATTCCAGAAAAACACCTACTTCTGCTTCATTGACTACACTAAAGCCTTTGACTGTGTGGATCACAGCAAACTGTGGAAAATTCTTAAAGAGATGGGAATACCAAACCACCTGACCTGTCTCCTGAGAAATCGGGATGCAGGTCAAGAAGCAAAAGTTAGAACCAGACATGGAACAGTGGGCTAGTTCAAAACTGGGAAAGGAGTACGTTAAGTCTGTATATTGTCACTCTGCTTATTTAACTTACATGCAGAGGACATCATGTGAAATGCCAGGCTGGATGAATCATAAGCTGGAATAAAGATTGCTGGGAGAAATATCAATAACCTCAGATATGCAGATGACACCACTCTCCTGGAAGAAAGCAACGGGTAACTAAAGAGCCTCTTGATGAAGGTGAAAGAGGAAAGTGAAAAAACTGGCTTAAAATTCGACAGTCAAAAAACCAAGATGGTATCCAGTGCCATCACCTCATGGGGATAAATGGAAACAGTAACAGACTTAATTTTCTTGGGCTCTAAAATCACTGCAGATGGTGACTACATCCATGAAATTAAAAGATGCTTGCTCCTTGGAAGAAAAGCTATGATAAACCTAGACAGTGTACTAAAAAGCAGAGACATCGTTTTGCTGACAAAGGTCCTTATACTCAAAGCTATGGTTTTGCCAGTAGTCATGTACGGATGTGAGAGTTGGACTATAAAGAAGGTTGAGCCCTGAAGAATCGATGCTTTCGGAATGTGGTGTTGGAAAAGACTCTCCAGAGTCCTTTGGACAGCAAGGAGATCAAACCAATCTTAAAGTAATTCAGTCCTGAATATTCATTGGAAGGACCGATGCTGAAGCTGAAGCTCCAATACTTTAGACATATACTATGAAGAGCCAACTCATTGGAAAAGCTCCTGATGCTGGGAAAGATTGAAGGCAGGAGGAGAAGGGGACGACAGAGGATGAGATGGTTGGATGGCATCACTGATTCAATGGACATGAGTTTGAGCAGACTCTGGGAGATGGTGGAAGACAGGGAAGCCTGGTGTGCTGCATGCAGTCCATGAGGTGGCAAAAAGTCGGACATAACTTAACAACTGAATACAACAATATCTACTTAGAGGAGACTACCACTTCCCCAGTCTAACAGATTTCTATTACTAGACTTCTCTCCAGATGGAACAGACGCTTGAGGATTTTAGACACACACACACACACACACACACACACACAATTTCTATTAGATTTTCTTTCAGTGTTTTTGTTTGTTTTTCCCCTTCTCAAGGAGAGGGAAGATTGAATTAAGGAAACTGGTAAATTTCCTCAGGTAACATAAAAGAAAGATCTTACTCTTTAAATCTTACTGTCCAGAGTCAGAAATTTCTTTGCAAAACCGGGTACCACTTAACAGCCCCTCCCTCATTTCTGAATCTCAAGGTATGAGTATTAGACAAGGATAGAACTTGTCTAATAGTTCCACGTCTTTAATAGGAAAGATGAATCCTGGGTGAGCTTTGCCTAATGTCTGACAGAATACCTTATTTTAAGATGCAATGCTTCCTTCAGACAAAGGAATGAAAAGTCATCTCTTTGCTATAGAACAGTGCTTTGCAAACTCTGTAATGTCTTAGAATCTCGTCACATCTTTTTAAAATGCAGAATTAGATGCAGTAGGTTTGGATGGGGCTTGCAATTCTGTATTTTTAACATCCCAGGTGATGCTGAGGCTGCTGGTCTGTGGACCATAGTAAGGCTGTGGGGGCTATGGGAGATTCCTGGTCAGGAGAGGGGAGACCATGAGAACTGCCTTTAGAAATGACAACTTCCTGGCTGTGATGGAAACAGTTGTGATGGCAGCGTAATGTTGGACCACCTGCCATACCTTTGGACAAAACTTTCTATTATCAAAAACAAACCATCCACCCCCCAAAAAAAAGAAAACAAAACAAACAAACAAACAAAAAACTTTTCATTACATTTTCTCAAGAGAAATTCAGCGAAATGGAAAAACTTCAGACTAAACCACTACCTCCGAAATTGGTTACTTGATGTGATATAAAAGAAATTCTCATTTAGAAATTGTGTGATAAATTTGGGGAGAAGGTTGAAGTTACAACACATCCTTCAAAAGAACCATGTATATTGGATACTGTTTAGTTCCACTGAATTCGAGTAGAAACAGGGGTATAGGTAGAGATGGAGAAGGTTGAGAACAGAAAGACAAGTCAGGAATGACACAGATAAAAATGCAGATTTTAAATGACTGTTTAGGATGGGCTAGAGTATATGAATACCTTGTACATAAACCCCCTGATTATGAAGAAGTGATTCTCATTGTCCTATTACAGGTGAGTCGTAAAGTTGAGGGAAGTTAACATGCCAAGGAACGCAGAGATTGTAAGTGATGGGGCTAAGATTCAAACTAAGGTTTTCTGATTCTAGAACATTCTAGCTTAACCCCTGTAGCATGGCACTGCCTCTGAGCTGGACTCACAAAGGGCTGAAATATTAGAACAAAGACACCTTAACCAGGCCTCAGGAACCCACCTCTCTAACCAAAACTTGCATCTTGCTATCATGTGGACCTACCTATCCCACTTGTGAAAACACTTCTTCCAACATCTTGCTTTCTGATCATCATTCCTG